TGAAAAGCGCTGCTAAAGGGGGGGGTGAAAGAAAGCACTTTTCATTTAAAAGCGCTGTTAAAACTTATACATTAGAAAGCATTTTCAAAAGCGCTACCTAAAGGGAGAAAAAGAGAGCGCTTTTCATTAAAAAGCGATGCTGAAAATCTGAAGAAACAATATATTAGACAACGCTTTTCAAAAGCGATGCGAAAGAGAGGAAAAAAGAGCGCTTTTCATGAAAAAACGCTGACTAAAGGTGACATTAGAGAGTGCTTTTTTAAAGAAGCGCTGCCTAAAGGAGACCTTTAACAGCGCTTTTGCCTTTAAAAAAAAGCGTTGCCTTTACTTACAGCAGTGCCACTTTAGGCAGCGCTTTTAAGCGCTGCTATAACTCTTTTTTGGCATAATGGTCATTCTAAATAGATGCAATAGAGCCTTATGAGAAGCTTTAAAGTTCATGGGTGCAATTACAAATTTTGATATGGACATATATGATGTGAAAACCATATTTTAAGAAAAGCACTTTAGTGATTAGAGGTGCTACAAAGTGTTTAAAAGACATGAATGAATGATTTTTTTAGTGTAAATGTGGTGGATAATATTAGCCCAGAGTAGAACAAAACAAGATCATCACAACTTAAATTCAAACACACCTCAAACATTTAAAAATAAAAACTAATAACAAACAAAATGACTCAGGTTTTTCTACTTAGCTTCTTCATTAACAAATGTTCCATCTTTCTTTTTTTTTGTGTGAAATAGAATGCATCTTTCCTCTAGTAAAAGTCTTTCCCATTATACATTCACAAATAGTCTTTTATTTTAAAATATATGTAGCAATATAAGAAAGTAAATGTAGAAATCAAACTAATCCATGCGATTTTCTAACAATTCTCTTTGAACCAAGAGTATGGGGAATAGTTTGCTTACTTCAATTTTTAGCATACAAACTATCCTTAGATACAAACTATCCTTGATCGGGACTGGTTTAGAAAAAAAAAAAAGGGAGCAATCTCTTTGGGGAAGGGATTTTTCGAATTCACTTTCTCAACTCTTGAAAATGTGAGGAAGGTGCGGGCTTTAGGTGCGTGGAATTTATCTCCAGATTTGTTGAAACTCTTTCCTTGATCCAAAGACTTCACATAAAGTATACAACAAAATAATACGGCCCAAGTTAGGGTGCATTTTTATGGCCTATAACATAATAATATTGGCGGCCTAATATTCTTTTTTCCATTGCAAGCAGTATAGGTACTACTACCTACTCTGGTATTGCCTGTATGGTTGATAGAATTTTTGGGCTTTTTGTTCAAGTTCTAGTTCACATGGATGTATCTAGTGGCGTTAGATATAAAATTCTAGTAGAAAGATAAGAAAATGCTTTTTTTCTTCACTGAGTTGGAATATGAAAACCTTCCACATTATTGCTCTTTATGCAAGAAAACATGGCACTACCTTGAGATTTGAAAGTTTGCAAATAAAGGGGAATTTTAAGAAAATGTTTTCTTTTAAGGTTTTTGAAGTTGTTTAATAAATATCAGTAACTTACTTACAAGGTGAGTGGGATAGCACAACTGGTAAGTGGTAGTTGAGTTAAAAGAATGTAAGTTGTTGGTCTAGGGTTCGAATCTTGGTGGCAACATTTATTTATATTTATATATTAACGTAAGCAAGTTGTTGATTTATATTTATATTGTCATCAAAGATTGAACCCTAGACCGATAACTTACACTCATTTAACTCAACTAGCACATACTAGTTGAGTTATCTCACCTACCATTTTTAGGTTTTCTTTTACTTTTATTTTCTCGTGTTCTCATGACTTTGTACCTCTGCGTTCAATTTTCGAACGTAAAGTTATCTTCGATGAGCAACCTAAGATCCTCAATGGTTTAAATATTCTTGAAGCAAACATATGAGCAAATGAATTACTTAACGGTATTTACAACATCATCGAGCAACAAAACTCTAAGTCAATTGAAGAAATATTCTTTCACCTAGAAGAAAGACTTCATCATGCCCAACCTCAGACAAACTCGGCTTAGGAAGCCATATCTAGGAAGGACTGTTCCATTTAGCCGGAGCCGTCCACAGTGAAGGGAGGTAAATTTCAAAAGTCAAAGGACATTCAAAGGGAAGAAAATGCAGTTCTCTTTACCGGAGTACGAGAGGAGACTGAGGAAGTCACACTCCAACATTTAAGTCAGCATGTGAAATAATATAGAGTATTTAAATTGTGTTTGAAACCCATGACCTAAAATGTCTGTTCTCATGACTTTGTACCTCTGCGTTCAATTTTCGAACGTAAAGTTATCTTCGATGAGCAACCTAAGATCCTCAATGGTTTAAATATTCTTGAAGCAAACATAGGAGCAAATGAATTACTTAACGGTATTTACAACATCATCGAGCAACAAAACTCTAAATCAATTGAAGAAATATTCTTTCACCTAGAAGAAAGACTTCATCATGCCCAACCTCAGACAAACTCGGCTTAGGAAGCCATATCTAGGAAGGACTGTTCCATTTAGCCGGAGCCGTCCACAGTGAAGGGAGGTAAATTTCAAAAGTCAAAGGACATTCAAAGGGAAGAAAATGCAGTTCTCTTTACCGGAGTACGAGAGGAGACTGAGGAAGTCACACTCCATCCCTGAAACTGGGTGAACACCAACTCCTCTTTATATATGGAATGTCACCATTTTAGGTCATGGGTTTCAAACACAATTTAAATACTCTATATTATTTCACACGCTGACTTAAATGTTGGAGTGCTAACCTTGCAAATACACTTCGTCTCTATTACTAAATATGTAATGGAACAACGACAGTGTTTGTGGGAATTGACTTCTGATTCTCGTGTTCTCATGACTTTGTACCTCTGCGTTCAATTTTCGAACGTAAAGTTATCTTCGATGAGCAACCTAAGATCCTCAATGGTTTAAATGTTCTTGAAGCAAACATAGGAGCAAATGAATTACTTAACGGTATTTATAACATCATCGAGCAACAAAACTCTAAATCAATTGAAGAAAGATTCCTTCACCTAGAAGAAAGACTTCATCATGCCCAACCTCGGACAAACTCGGCTCAGGAAGCCGTATCTAGGAAGGACTGTTCCATTTAGCCGGAGCCGTCCACAGTGAAGGGAGGTAAATTTCAAAAGTCAAAGGACATTCAAAGGGAAGAAAATGCAGTTCTCTTTACCGGAGTACGGGAGGAGACTGAGGAAGTCACACTCCATCCCTGAAACTGGGTGAACACCAACCACTCAAAGTGCAGCCTAAGCATTCCCCGTGCTCCCAAATCCTAGAAATCAAGATCCTTAAGTCTATGCAAAAAGCTCCTAAATTGGGAGAGTATAATGGAAAAGAAAACCCTGGCAAACATGTCCAACTCTTTAATGATCTGTTCAATTACTACAGCACTAGCAATTCTTCCAAGTCCATGTTACTAGCATTAACATCGATTGAACCAACCATACTATGGTTCAACGACCTCCCCGATGCTTGCATTGAATCATGGGATAACATCTACAACTGCCTCACTACCCATTTCACCACCCATATAAGCCAACCTGTTACTATAACGACCTTGAGTATCATCATGCAGGGGGAAATGAGAGCCTACGATCGTACATTAATTGATTCACTCGGGTCGTGATAGAGGTAAAGGGACCCGGAGAAGCCTTCCAATGCTGGATCTTTGAGAATGGCCTCCTTAGTGACCATCATTTATGCACCAAGATGGGAAAAAGAAAGTAAAGACAACTCAGAAAATGTTAAATCTAGCTCAGCCGTATATCACATTAGAGGAGAAACTAAATACTCGCTTCGACAACTAAATCTCGACCACCGATGTGAGTTCCAATTGCTAGATATGAAAGGAATAATGCAAGCGAAAAGTGTACACTAATAAAGGGATGTATGACCAGTGCAACAAGTACACCCCCTTGAATACACCCCGAGAATAGGGGTGTTCGCGGTTCGCTTTGGATCGGTTTTGAAGCAAAGTATCATTCGATCCCAAAATAATTTTTTTCATAGTTTAGTTCGGTTTTGGATGATTGATAAAAAAACCTGATCCGATCTAATTTAATGCGATTTAATTTGGATCGATTTTCTGGACATCCAAATTATAAATTATAGCTTTTATTAATATTCTAAAAGTACTATTACGTTGCTTGGTAATCATACATTTTTCTGTATGTGTCTATTATGTTGGCATAATTCATAGAAATGAAATTTATACCAATTTTATTTTGAAGAGTATCTACAAGGAATATTATGGAAACAAGTTAATATAAAGGAAGGATTTAGATTTTGTGCTGTTGTGGCTTAAATAGTTGTCTATTACCACTTACACATATCCACCACATGGAAGAAGGGCTGCAACAGTAGAGTATGACATCCAATGGAAAAGTCTAAGAGTACTGTCTGTTGGTGGCTCTATTTTATGGTTGATGTATCACAATCAAATGTCGATAATCCAGTGTAACATCCTTAATGCTAAAAAATTGCTTGATGAAATGCCGTAGAGAATTTAAAAATTTAGAAAAGTGTATAACCCCTATAATCTACTAGTTTTTTGTAAGTTGGATTTAAGCGATGTGGCATCTCAAGTGGCGTGCCACATCATCTTCAGTTAAAGGAAGTAGACAAAAAAAAATCAAAAGTGTAGATAAAAAAATTTAAGAAGAAGAGTATTTGAAGAAGTTTTTTATAGACTAAAATCGAATTTGAGTTATTTACAAGAAAAAAAAACATATTTAACCCTAGAAAATTTATCTTTAAAAATTCTAATCAAATATAACTACCCTTAGAGAGATAGATAATATGTTTTTTAAAAGGAGAGAGGAGTATCATATGAAAACATTGGAGTGCAATTTTGAACGATAAAGTTCAATCCCCAGCCCAAAATCCACAACACTCAAAAAGCCCAAAAGAAAAAAAAAAGAAAAAGAAAAAAGAACCGTTTTATGATACACAAGTAAAAAGTTCGAAGAAGCTAAAGAAGAAAAAATGGCAGCGCCAAATTCCGAGTGTGATTCCAAGGTAAACCAACAATAATCACTTCTTCTTCTTCTTTGCTATTTTCTTTATTAATTTAGGTTTTCAAATTTTTGTTGTGACAGGAAAATTCTCAGAAACCGAATCCGGAAACATTCCAGTTATTTTCCTCCTCCGTAGGTTCTGGTTTCGGATTCTTTGACGATGTTTCACAACAAGTTAACGCTATACCTCCTCCTCCTTGTGTTGAAGTTCTCGCTTCTGACTCCAAGGTTTGTTCTTCATTTTTTGTTATTTCACTGTTCATGATTATTTGAATTGAAACGACGTCGTTTTTGAATTGTTTTCGTTTGTTTTTTGATATTAGGTTCCTTTATTTGGAAAACCTAAATTTGAGTCTGTGGATTTTGATGGGGTTACTTTGTTAAAGGTAAAGTTTCTTTCTTTGTTTTCAAATTCTCATTTTCATCAAATTTGGTACCTTGAATTTTTTTATTATGATTTGAACTTAGTTTTATAAGATTGTTGTAGGGGCGAGTGAATACTCAACAAGTGTTTGGTTTATCCAACTCTGATTTGGTTCCGGGTAAATATGAAGGTGATAATAGTGTTTTGCTCCTTGCATTTCTATCTATGAAGTACTCACATTGAATAATACACAAACACAGACACCAGACAAGATAATGATAATGATAAATAGACACTTGTTTAATGTAAGGATATGAGTTGGTATTGCGTGGGACACATGTTTAATATGAAGTGTAGTATCTATGTAGATTTCTATTTGTTTGTTTATACATTCATTTCCATATTTTTAATGACCTATGAAACACTGACATAGACACGGATATCAAACACAGACATACTTTTAGTCTAAAGTGTTGGTGCTACATTGTTGATGAGTACTAAATCAGTTGTAAATTGGGTTTCCTATGGCTTAGGAGGACTGAAGCTGTGGGAAGGTTCGCTTGATTTAATTAAAGCCCTTCGTTCGGAAATTAAAAGTGAGCTTATTTCATTTGGTGGGAAGCGAGTATTAGAGGTGGGCATCACTTTCTTCAGGTGATTTTATTGTATATATTATCTGTTCGATAGAAGACTGTCTATTACCTGCTTAGTAGACAAACGTGCACACTCGGCTAGAAGAGCTTTTGTCTTTTTGATATACGAATTGGTAAAGGAGATATAACCAAAGCTAGGGTTTGTTTTGATCATGTTGAGTTGAATTGATTTATTTAAACTTATTTCCTGACATCTCTTAGAATTTGAGTTGCGTCTAATTCAACCTTATCAAACCAGCTTGCTCAACCTTATCAAACCAGCTTCTAAGATGAGGAGTGTCACACGTTATAAATTCTAGTCAGTTCTTATCATTTTTCCCTTCACTAGGATCTTTCATGTCGTGCTAACGATTTGAGTTTTACGATCTTTCACAAACCGACCGATCCTACTTAAGATCTCGTGCTTGACTACATTGACTATCATACTATTTTAGAATTTGAGTTGAGCCTAACTCAATCTTACCACCCGACTTATTAGATGATAACCGTCATTCTTTTTTTCAGCTCCAGTCAGGCACTTATAGTTTATATGTCAACCATATGACTTAATTTTATGATTAGTTATAGAAATAGTTTGGTTATATATAAGCACTTAAAAGTTAAGCTCATATTTTTAGTGCTTAATTACGATGTTTATCCAAACATGGTCGCCAATCTCTTGGGAGGAATATTAATCATCTAATCACAGTATCATTCAATTTTAAATATTTGATTCAGGTTGGATGCGGTCATGGACTGCCTGGAATCTATTCTCTGCTTGAGGTAAAACTACAGTTCTTTGGCTTTGCTATAGTATCTTCAATTAAATTTGAAAAATGTAATAATGTGTTTATCACGGTTGATTCAGGGTGCGGCTGTTGTACATTTCCAAGATTTCAATGCAGAGGTCCTACAGTCTCTCACCATTCCCAATTTAAATGCAAATTTTTCCGAAAAATCTCAACCATCATCGTCACCTTTAGCAAACGACGCGCCAGAAGTTCGTTTTTTCGCTGGTGACTGGAGCGAAATCGATAAACTGCTCCTTCCAGTTGGTACAGATGCAACACAGATTAAAGATTCTGGTTATGATTTTATTCTCATGGCAGAAACAGTTTACGCAATCAGCAGTCTTCAAAGTCTCTACAATCTTATCAAGAAGGTATTGTTTTCATAAGTGCATTTATCTGTCTATGTAATCTGCGCGCATCTTTGATGATAACAATATCGGTTTCTTATATACTGCAGTGTTTGATACATCCTCACGGAGTTGTATACATGGCTGCAAAAAAGTATTACTTTGGAGTCGGTGGAGGATCTCGGAGATTTCTGTGTGTTGTGGAAAAAGATGGTTAGTTAACATTGATAGTAGTCAGAATTGCGATCCTACTCGTATTTTACACTGACAACTCTATATATGCAGGTGTTATGACTAGTAAACTGGTTGCTGAAATTACAGATGGTTCATCTAATGTGCGTGAAGTGTGGAAGCTTACATTCAAGTAGTGTTGGTGTTTTTTGTTGGAAGGGTGACGATACCTCCATTGATGGATCATTAATATGTTGTAAATTAAATAGAGTTGATTTCTTCACATAACCATATTGCTTTTCTTGGAAGAAATTGCAGTTCTTGGGAAACGAAAGAAGAACCAAAACTTGCATAATATAAACTAAGGGTTAATATCCAATTCTCCATCTATCATTTGAGGTCATTTTGCATGTCATTTCACTCATGACACTGCTTTCATCACCACAGCCAAAGATACATTCTTCTTGTTGTTAGTGGAAGTGGATGGAAGTTACAAGGGCAGACACCTTATGGTGAAAACTTGTTGCTATTAGGCACAATAGTCAAATAACTATTCTTTGGATGATAGTTGTACTTGATTTAATCATTGTTACTCAATTAGGTGGAGACAAGTTTCTCTCTTAAGTTCATCTCAACTCGTACTTTGATTCCTTAATATGGTTGTGAATGACCATTTGACCTCTGATTGGTTAAATGTATGAGTAGGGTTGTTCAAGATATTAAGGAATCCAATTGTGTGTTTTGTGGTCACCGCGAGGACACATCATGCTATTTATTTATAACTTATAAATTCTTGTTTCAAGTGAGATTTAAAAAAAACAAAATCATGTTTTTTCAAAAAAATTCCTAGACATTCAATTTTTCAAAAAAAAAAAAAAAACAATTTAATCACTTTTCAAACAAATTTTGTGTGCCTCTAAGAGTATGCACTATTGCCTTTGACGCATGCGCTTATGTTTTTAGGAGTAGTCAATGAGTGTGGCGAATGGATGCAATTTTTAGTAGCATGTCCTATTGTCTGTGGCTCATGTGTTTTGTTTTTTTTTTATATAATTATTTTAACAACAAAATAATTATAAATAAAATGTTTAATAAAAATATAAATTATACTATTATTCCATCAAATAGAATAAAATCTATAGGTTTTATATCCAGTGCATTTGCTTGTCTTCGAGGTTTCCTATGATTTTTCCAAGGTGTTTGGAGTTCCATAGTATTTACCTGAGCAAAAGGTGGTTGGCTCAAGATTTTTAGGATATTAGTGTTATCTAACAAATCTTCGATCATATCTCTCCAGTAGTCGGTGTTGCCGTAATTGAGTTTGGTATCCATACTGTCGTAGTTGTGTTGTGTTGGTAGAGTTACGTGAGGGCAGACTGGTTGGTTGAATTGGAACATTGAATCGTTTTGGAAATGAAGCAATGGTTCTTATGGTGTTTGAAAGGCATGTCTTGGTTGGGTACTTTGGCGATGTGATGTTTATGTGCTTTGGTGGTGTGATGTTTGAGTGTACATTAGTTGGGTGCTATGGTGGTATGGGATGAAATCATATGCCTCATTGGAGTTATAGTAAGATGTGGTGGCGACATATGGTTGTTGGTGGTATGGATTATGCTCTTGGTTTTGTGTTTGAGTGTGTGGCATGAATTGATTGCGGGGTTGGGTGTATGCAAGTTTATAATCATGTTCGATTGGTTGTTGGTGTGTCGAGTATGGTGATGTTGCAGGTTGGTTGTTGGGTGTGGGTGGGTTGACAATGTTGTTGGGCTTGGTAATACTATGAGGTTGGTTGCTAGGTGTAAGATGACGAATCTCGTTTGTGTGGGTCGATCAAATACATCGGGTCAGATACAAAATATGTCGTTATAACCGACATATACCAATTCATATAATTTCGAGTTAGTCTATCATCCTGCATGATAGGTTCGTTTATGATTTGTTGATGTCAATGCTTCCATTGATGACACGCCTCCCCTGCAAACTCTCTTCAATAAGAATAATTCCATTGGGCATCAACTCTTAGTTGATGCTATTGTCCCAAACACGTCGAAGGGTCTGGAATTTGTTGCTGAAGGGTCGAATTTGTTGCTGAATCATCTCCACAGTAGTGAACTTGATGATTGTTATTTTTGCAGTCCAAACTACAACATCCTCGGGTTTAATCTCATGGTTGAGACCCAAATACGGTCTCCAGATAAACTGTAGAGAAAAAAAAAATACATGAATAGAAAAATTGTAAATTGGTAATATTAAAACTTAATTAACGAGATGATGAATTGTTTAGTTGTAATACATCATCTGATCTAAGATGATCTATAATATTTTGATAGGTCGTTATAACGTGTTTGGGACATTTGTTGTAGTTCATCCCTAGAACATATAACCTAAACCGAAAAGAGGGAAAATAAGTTATTTACAGTTAGTTTTAGTATAAAGTAAGAAAGTGGAAACAATGAGATAAACTTACTTTGTCGCGTATGAGAATGTGAAGCTGTTCTCGTTGACAAGGGCAAGTGACAGCATTTTCAACCAACCCCATGCTTAGAGCAAAAACGCGTAAGAATAAAATGAACAAGTACCTTTTTTTGCGTTTTACACAAAGAACTATATAGATGAGACATATACATAAATTAAACGCGTTTGGAGTTGCAACTCCAAAAAAAACTAATGAATTTCAAAAAAAAGTTAATCCGGAGATGCATTTACAGAAAAACCCTAAAGATACATACAAAAATGCATCTTGGAATTAAAATTTGGCAAACTGAGGAAAACTCCACCATTTACACTAATTTGTGTCGAAACGGTGCGTCCGGAGATGCATTTCTGAACTTTAGAGAAATTTTTAAGTTTTTACCAATAGTTTGTGAGAAGAGACAAGAGTGAAATTTTTTTTCTTAAGGTATATCCATGCTTGTCCACTAGTTCTTTTTGTACCCATGATTTTGTTCAAACGTGGAGTATACTTTGTTGATTGAGTGGAGTTTATGGGTTACTTTTTGTTTTTTATCGGTGGTTAAAATATAGTCAACGTTAATATTTGACATTGAAGAAATAAATGGGATAGTGGTTGAATTGTTTGTCCAATGGTATATGCATTCTAAGAGCATCTTTAATGGGAGTAAACTAAATGGATAAACTAAGATATTGTTTGTGGGACCAAAGTGATTTGTAAGATTTAAAATATTTATAGTTGATTTGAGTTGTTTTTACTTTAATGATGGTTGCTTGTAAAAAACCAAAACTTGACCCCACATTTTATAGTTGTTGGAGCTTTATTGACATTTTAATAATATAAAACAATAATAAAATAATAATAAGAGTCATTGAGAATGGATAGTGTGCGTTGGTTATATAGTTTACTCCCACTAATTGTTAGTTCACTTACTACCATATCATTCTTATTCCAATTCAAATTGCTTATAACTACCGTTACTATTAAAGAATTTAATACTACAAAACCTGCACTAAAGATGCTCTAAGTACACCCAAGGTTTGTGAACTCACAACATTTGAATGAGTGACGTGTCTGGTCCTAAGTGGGTGCCATTAAACTTCATATAATCAATATTTCAAGTTTTTATTTTCTTCACCAATTGTTACGATTTTTTATTTATTTATAAATAAAGAGACTTTTGAGACATAGAGAAACACATAAAATTCACACGCTTCATAAGAAAAAAAATATAAATCATTCATTTATTTTTCATGTGCACAAGAATAAATGATAAAATATTATTATATAAAATATGATTGATCATATATTTAATATAGATGTGTGAATCATGTCAAAATTTCCAAAATATTTTGAAATGGATTCCCGTATATCTTCTTACATCTAATTTGTCTAAATTAATTGAAATAATAGAACATAAATTTTAGTGCAAACATAAATTATGAAATATATTTTGTATAACTTTCATCACATTTTTCATTTTTTTTTTCATTTTGTTGTTCATGTTTCAATAGACCTCAAACGCAAAATCTAATTATCATTAAGTTCGATTTTGATTTTTAATTTATGATATATTCGTAATTAATATTAAATTTGAAACTTTAAAGAAGATCATAGTAACTCTCTATAATGGTGAAAATTACTTAATTAATTCATAATTTTTTTTAGAATTTATAAAAATTATGTTTTATGATTTTTTATAATTAATTTGTGGTTAAAATGTTAATGGATAAATTAACATTCATTTTTGTTTATTTATAAAGATACATAATTATTTTAATAAATATATAACATATAAGTTATAAATTAATGTATAATATATTAAAAATAATATTTATTTATTATAAATTTAACACGTGACACTAAATTTATATATGCATAAAAGTATAAACTATTCAAATAATTTATTTGATCTAGAATATAAATTCCATTATAATTTTATTTTAATGCAGCTAATTTTATTTGATTATTAGTTATTTTTGATGTAAGTTGATATTAATGTTAAATCACTCCGACGAAAAACCTCATTTTACTTCGGTTAAAAAAGGGGTTTCACCTCGATTTCAAATGAGACATAACAAAAGGTGCCATAATTTTTTTCTTTTACTTTTCTCCTCAGTTATGGATCAACTGAGAGAAAACGTGTACTACTACTACTCATGAGTCTGATTTTGAAGTATACTACTACTTTGGATCCACTTTTCTCCTCGATTATATATTTGTTTACAAATATTCATATATATATATATATATATATATATATATATATATATATATATATATATATATATATATATATATATATATATATATATATATATATATATATATATATATATATATATATATATATATATATATATATATATATATATATATATATATATTAAAGTTTTATTGAAATATAAATTTTTATAATTTTACAATATTTTTAATTAAATCTACCTGTGCAATTTTGAAGAAGAATTCTAAAATATATTGATCACCATTCTTGTGAATCTTGGTGAAAAATAAATGCTAAAATTTATTGCATATATGTACATTGCAATATGTTATCTATTGGTATGAATTTATATGCTTCCAATATAAAATTAACAAAGTTTACATTAAAAAAATAATTATAATGTATAAAGACAAGAGATTATGTAAAGAACAAAGACCTTCAACCAATACAATTTTTTCTTTTTGCAATTCATCACAAAGACTGTTTCTACTTTCCTTTAAGTTTTACTTTTTTCAATTCTA